TCATCATTTCGAAGGACTGGAAGATTGTTCTGCATATATCTCAAGAAGTTGGAAGAGACATAGCTCTTGCCTTCACAGCTTTTGTCTAACAGTCTGTGAACATAGTCCTTCCGAATTCTCAAAAAAAACTCAAAGCGGAACGTAAAACAGTGAGGAAGTCTGTTTTAGAAAATGACTATCTTCATAAGTATATCAAGAAGCTTATTGATGAATATTACTTAAGAATGGAGCTAATAAAGGTAATAAAAAGCATTTATCTGGTGTTGAAGGATGATTACATTATGGGAAGACTAACTTAAGAGCGTTAGTATATGGCAGCACAATTAGTGTCTTTAAAAACTAGCTATAATAAATATCATACAAAATCTATTTACACAAATAAAATTAGGTAAAACTATTCACGTACTACCTTAGATGTCACAATAATTTACATTTAAATATAAGAGTAGTACGCTGGGGAAATAGAGCACAAAGGTCTACTTTCTTTATCTATCATATTTGTGATCATTCAAGTTTCAAAGGTCAAACTAGAATTCACAGTTTGATTGCATAGCACCTCCTGGTCAAAGGGGCAAACGATGCACATAGTAAAATTATCAACAGATGGATAATTCTAACGTACTATGATTTAGATACAATGGTTCATTTTCAAATTCTAATCAATATCTTATATTTTTACATTTTCGAAACTTCGTCATTTTACGTACTTAAATTACTTCCAGTAAAAAGAAAATCACTGTCCACCAAAAAAACATTTGTTCTTAGTTTTCTCAATGAGGATTTAAAGACTCCCATAATGAAAATAAGCGAACAACATTGTTTTCATTTAGATCCTCATCAGGCCTTACTATAACATATATGAATATTTATATGAAAATATCAAACCAATCAAGGGAATTTATTAATGATTGGTCACAATGAAATAGATTGCATATAAATACGTAACCAGCAAAAGATCAATGTTGATGCTAAGAAGATAGACGCTCTGGCAGTAATAAAAATAACGAAATAAAAAAGTCCTGGTCAGTAGTTCAATATTGGGAGTAGGCCATATTTGAATAAATTGACTTGGAAATGTTTTATACGAATATTCGTCAATATTTGAACTAATAATTTAATAAAAATTGGGGAATGAGTTTATAGAAGACATTATTTATGAAAATTATTTTTAAAATAATCTCAGTAGTTGAAATTTAGATAATTCCAAAGTTTCATTCAAGAAACTTGTCTAAAATTCAAAATATTAGTATCATAGGGGGTTTTGTGGAGATTGTAGTAATTTCAATAGTTGATATCATGAGTCAATTGCAGCTAGACCACCATGGAAAACTTGGAAGCACTTCAAAATATTAGTCAAAACCAATATTATCAAAGAATTTATGACGTCTAATAATCAAATCGAATCTACGCTAAGTTCTTATTAAATCATATTCAGATGTTGATTTCAGTAAGTAAGATGTAAATTATGTGAAACGTTCACAATGTGTAAACAAATCATTGTGCTTGTAATGTTGATACTTGTTGAGTGAATGTTATTTGTTTGTTCGAAGTAAATGTAGAAATAAAAGTACAAATAGAAAATGTTTTAACGACGCCGGTGTGTATATAAAATAAGAAACATCAAATGCATAGTTGTAGTGTCAAAATTTTCAAATTGGTTTTTGTTGGAACAACGCTACATGTGAAATAAACAAAGCGGATATAGATAAGGTCCAATTACTTGTTAGTGATCATTTGCAAAGGGGTGGCTAGTTGAATATCATCTCTTCTGTTCAGGCTGTTTTGATTAGCCCATACATACAGAGCTTTTTTATCACTATGAACTTCGTAGTACAAGCACGAGCTGACATATAAACTGAGTATGTTTCAGAACCTGTTGATGACCGGTACATTAATTTTTAACTTAATGAAGAATAAAGACGAAAGCAGGTGAAAAGCGGGGAAAAAGAGGATGTGAAAAAATTAATAAAGTCGTTTATCGAATTACATCAGGCCAAGAAACGGATAGATTTGTTACGGATTTCATATAAACACATAAACTATGGTTACAAGTTCGGATCCTAATAACTTCTGTCATATATAGGAGACGGGACTGAACTCCATTGAAGAGTGACGAAGGTATGCAATAAATCACTCGAAATCCATCATATGATCAACGTCAACTAGGTGTGCCAAGACAGAGATATGTATTGTCTTTGTCTGGCCCTGTCCAAACAAAGCAGAGTGATATTCCTTCATTTGTTGGTTAAGTTGCGTCTTAGAACATCAAATGTAGCCATCTCCCCAGCTCAATTTGTAGATGCACATCAAAAAGGCACGCTCAGCTAACTTATCCTGTGTTTGAGTAGATATCACTGGCCTACTAGAAAATCTCAATGCAAAATTAACAGAGGAGGATGCCCAATGAACTTCCCTCGTTAATCTATCACAGATGGCATCTCTAAATACATCCTCGATGAAATCGGTCATTGACCATAGATTGCATTGACTGGTCCTGCATTTTATAGACTCATGTCAATACTTATGTTTATTAGAGTACAGTTTAATGATGACCTCATTGAAAACAGAGTTACTGCCGGTCCCAAGCCCGGGTAAAGAAGGGTTGGGCATGGGGTTAGAGACCCCATCCCGTAGAAGACTAACTCGCTAAAAAACGCTTACCAGAAAAAATAATTCAAACCATTTTAACTCTGCCTTGGGAGTTAGAAGGTCTTCATTTAGAAGAAATATGACGCTTCATGGTGAAAGCCGAGCTCCTTCGGAAGCCACGAGGCCGATGCCCCTTCTAACAACCAGAGCAACAATTTTTATAGGTACATGGAACGTCCGGACAATTCGGGAGACCGGGAAGATCAGTCAAATAGCAACGGGAATGAGGAGATACAAATTGGCAGTACTGGAAACCAGCGAAACCCATTGGACCCAAGCTGGACAACAAAGGCTAGATACGGAAGAGATGCTGCTATACTCCAGTCACGGAGAGGAAAATGCTCCACACACTCAGGGAGTTATTCTAATTATGTCCAAAGAAGCACGAAATGTACTTGTAGGATGAAAATCTTACGAATCCAGAATCATCAAAGCATCATTCAAGATAAAGAAGGAGTGAATTATAATGAATGTTATCCAGTGTTATGCACCCACCGATGATAGCAACGATGACATTAAAGATCAATTCCATGAGAGGCCCAATAAAGGACCTCACCGTTCTGATGGGAGATCTAAATGCCAAAGTCGGAGTAGACAACACCGGATATGAAGATATCATGGGATGGCATGGACTGACTGGGAGAGAAAAACAAAAATGGGGAAAGGTTTGCAAATCTGTGCGCATTCAACAAATTGGTCATAGGAGGCACAATATTTCCACACAAACGTATACACAAGGCTACAAGGATCTCACCGGACCACACTACAGAAAACCAAATAGATCATATCTGCATCAACGAAAAATTCCGAAGGACAATGGAAGATGTGAGAACCATAAGAGGAGCTGACATAGCTTCAGATCATCACCTAGTTGCGGCCAATTTAGAACTGAAGCTTAAGAAGAATTGGACAAACAGCACTACAAAGGTTCAATACAGCCTTCTTTCGAGATACTAACAAACTCAATGAATTCAAGATAGCTCTCAACAACAGGTTTCAAGCCTTACAAGATCTACTGAAAGAAGAAGAAACTACTATGGAGGACAACTGGAGATGTATCAAAGAAGCATTTACTTCAATGTGTCAAGTGTTTCTGGTAATCCTGAAGGGAAACGGAAAAGAGGAAGGCCAAAGAACACATCACGTCGGGAAATAGAAGCAGGTATGAAAGAAATGAATAACAACTGAAAGAGCTGGAAAGGATTGCCCAGGACAGGGGTGGATGGAGAGTGCTTTCGGGCGGCCTATGCTCCTTCACGAGGAGTAACAGGCGTAAGTAAGTAAATAAATAAGTATGTAGTGTTCTTATTTTTTATTGAAAACCTTCAATTTATAAACACTTTTTATCAATTTAAATTTATCACTTTTTGTTTTGAAGTGATTGTTTTTATTCAAAATTTTAAATAACTATTTTCATTCTCACGTTTGAATTCTGCTTTCCTAAAAGATTCATTCAATGTATTATGTCCCCTGAACACTGTAAACATGGTAATTTGACTTTGTTTTAGTGTCATTAAATGTATTCGGAGTAAAACAAAAATCAAGTAAGCTATATTGATGCAAAGTGGAGAGTTGGTTGTATGTTAGGCTCAAAAAATCCTTTCATAGAGGTGATGAAACGAATTTCGATTTTGCTCATAATCATATAAATGCAAAAGAAATTCCCGAAAACTAAATGCCTAATTTCAATCTGTAATAGCTGTCTATATAAACAAACCTGTTTCAAACAATTATGCTGAATAAAATTTCAATTGTTTTAGTTTTGCGAAACTTAATTGGTGCCAAAGTTAAAAACTAATTAAGCATCACTGTCAAATGATTCGTTTTATTAACAGATTTGAAGAACTTCGGAAAGTTTGCATATCAACTTGACTAATGTTCGAGGGCTTAACAGTGGCGCCAAGACACCTTCTTTCATGACATAACTTCTATTTATTTCCTGGGTGACTTCATATCGCCGATTATTTATTCATGGATTATTTCCCCCCCTATTATATCCTGGTTAATCATCCATTGATTAGTTAGTTCCTGTTTCAGTAGTGTTTTGATAAGAAGACTTTTAGAGTATCTTGGTAAAATTTAAGAGCAATACATTAAATACTTCATTTGTAAATTTCCATCATTTGTCTTTCACATTCATTATGATTCTTTTGATTCACAATTACTCCCTAATTTTGTTTCTGTTTTCTTCAAGTCAATCTTCATAGCATTCTGCTGCCAGGTTTTCCGTTTCCGATTGGTATTTTAATACCAATTATGAAGACAGACATAAGTAGCATACACCACAGTAGCATTATTTGTCATAGTAAAATATACTAATAATTCTCCTATGAATATTAAACTGTTGGATATCAATATCCAATGTATACCCCCAAGTGATATAGTCTGGATTTACTCGGACGATAGAAGCAAATAACAAAACTTTTTGATTTTAGACAATTCTGTCAGAATTTTAACCAATCACAGATCAGGAAAATAACCAACTCTCTAGCAAGCCAATAAAATTAGACCTCGTGAATAATTATAAAAAATACCCTAAGGGATTCAATGACTGGATATACAAACAGATTTGAATAAATTTGGTACTTCGAATCTTTTATATTCGTTACAATTAATAACGGTATTTTGATCAATATATGAAATTTGTCTGCATATTTTTCTTGTGTTTCCTATCATCTTAAGTGATTTACAATTTCAATATAAAAATGTTACATCTCTTTCTCATTCTACTTTTAATGATTTTCACATCAACAGGTAAGTCTACTTAAGATTTTTTGGTAGGTATACATTCCTAAATTCGACTGTGGTTTATATTGATGAACATTTCAATTAAAATACAATTTGAGCCCATTATTGTTAAACATACTAAATTCACTTTGTAAAAGTGAAATTCAAGACACCCGTTTCATCCTACTTATAACTCGTCAGCCGGATGTATCTGCATCCGTGTTCTTATTCATTCTGGGACTCAAACCCAGTACCTTGCAATTTAAATATCTAGTGCATTATCCACCGAGCTACTGAATTCAGATATCCACTAAATTGTGCAATAACAGTGAATTTTATTATTTATGTGTGCTAGAATCCTCTAGTTGCTTTTTTTAATGCTAAGGATTGATTTGACTTAAATCTGGTACTTAACATTAACAAAAGGAAAATCTAAACAATCACAAATAAAAAAGGAAATAATATTATTAAATTTTCATAGGTAAAATAATAAAGAATAATGAATGTTCTTGGTATTGTTTAGTTGAATCTTCCCATTGATATATAAGACTGCATTTTATCAGTCTTTTATTGGCATATGTGCATACTGTACGTATCGTCTCGATATTTTAACATGAAATCCAAAGATTCCATAAAAAGTCATATTTTTAAAGTAATTACTGAATGATCACTTCAGAGATTAATTGTGAAAATCAGTTCACTAGTAAAGAAAATAATATGTCACTACTTTTAAAATGTGTGAAATTTAATTGCCAACTTGATTACAAAATGTTTTTCGGGTTTGTAAAGGATATAATATTAAGTCATTTTAATTTAAAATTTAAATTATTTGAAAGATGACTTATTAAAACTCTTTTGTTCATCCAATCTATACAAGTCTATTTGCAACTGAAAACAATTTTGAAGGGACCGATAATATTTCATGATAGTACTTAAAATTCCCTGTATTGTGAACTTAACTTGGAGATCTACTACATGACTTTAATTAATGTGTGTCATATCGTATATTCTGAAGGTAGTAACATTAAGTGAAAGTGAGAAACTTTTTTGATCACAAAACATAGGTTGTCTAGAGAAATTGTAATCAAGACTCATCCGATGCATTACTTTTTATGTTTTCAGTGAGAATTTTTTAAAACTATCAACCAATAAGTAAATGGCTTAATATAAATGTACACTGATCAATGATTTGGTATCGAACACCACCTTGTTCATTTAGCTCTTAGTGATTGTCGAATTCTGCAGAATAATTTTTATTCATCTCTTCATTGTTTTGCCTGTAAACCTGAGGAACTTTATCCCGCTTACTTGAACTGTAAGTCCACCAATACTGGAGACTATATAAATGTGATACTATAACCAACTGATAACAAGTCAGCGTAAATACAGGAGATCAGCCGTGACCGGAAAAGCTCAGATGTAACAATTTTACTTGACAACATTTTGACAATCTTATAACTATGTAATGTTCTGCATTGTGTATTGTAACGAGCATTTGAGTAGATGCTAAATAAGAGAACGCTTAAATATATGATATATTATTAAAAGTCCTCACTTATAGTTAATTAATGTACCCTTTAAACAACATATCAGAAAATGTTTAGTTCTTTCTTAACTCAGTATTCGAGAGCAAAATAATACAGTATTCTTTGTGTATTTTTCGAGTATATATATGACTAAATAAAACCCTGAAATTCTAGCTTCACATATTTATCCATCAATCTCATATAATAGTATCATTAGTGCTTCATTTGTATGAATGGTAGGTTTTCTTAATACTAAATTTTTCAATCAAAAGTTATTTTGTAAAAAGAAACTTTTCAGACATATTAAATCATTTTATCAACTTTAAAAAAATCAACTGATAAACTTTTATTTTTGAGCAGGATAAAACTGGGAAGAAAGTTTTTTCAAGTGAATTACTTTGTAATTGATGAAAAGAACTGTACTGACTGAATATCTAGAAAGTATCGTAACTAAATATAAAGTAACAAAATCAATTTTATGAGCATTTAATGCAAAGGACAACACATAATTTTATTCACCAAATATGTTATATGTAATTGTAAGGTTCTATCTGAATGTGACAAATGTGAATGATGTTTTTATTTTACTGAAAGAAGTGAATTTATTGATAGAGTTCCTTCAACTTCTTAGGTATAATTCCTGTCTTCCAGTTTGAAAAGATAATAATGTGAATTAAACCGATGTTCCAGTGAGAAACCGTGACCAGTGGAATTCAACCGTGTCGAGCGTGAGACTGTTACCCACAGAAGACATTGGCAGATGGTCGTGCAATATCGTGTATTGATTGGAGTTATGAATTAACATCGTTGAATGCCAACTCAGTGGTCTAGAGATTACGGGTTCACGCGGAACCGAAGGTCTCAGGTTTATGCATGTATGCAAGATCGTGAATGCCGACTTCTGAGAAGTCCCATGCAAGGACGAAACGGCCTCCCACTGCTTCCAAGTTTTCAGTGGTGGTCTTACATTGATCAGTTCATGATATCCATAAAAACTCAACTATTTGTTAGATGCTTCGTAGTCTTCATTAGCATTCAAACGGTTAAAGAACACTTACACAAGCTTAACTCCTTTGCTGTAAGTTAGAGAATAACTTCGAAACCTATGTTACACCCACTATAAATATAGTACATTTAAGCAATTCTATTACTGATCGGATTTTATTCATATTTATAACAGTGAAAAGTACATCAGTGAAAGCAATAAATCTACCAAGAACTGACATGATATTCATTTTAATATTTTTCCGAATTCAATGAACGAGATTGAAAAAGTAATTGACTTATTCAACCATAAGGTTCAGGTGGATATTTAAATCACTCCCTTTGTCCAGATTTTAAGCTGAAAAATTGTATATGATAATATTTTCACACTAATTTTGACCCTGGCAAACCCACTTTCGACTTGTGAACATCAAGATTGAGTAACACTAATATGTTGTCAGTGATTTATCAATCGAGTTTTTAATAAACTATGATTTAGCTAGCTTTTACGTCACTTTTTAAAACTTGGTAATTTCAGTAGTGTTTAAAGATCCGTTTTCGCAAAATTGTGTTTGAGTCTAACAAACTGAAGACCATACTTAGATTTTTGCTATTTGCTATGTTGACATATAAATTAAATTGAGTGTAGATTAACAAAATTTCATTCTCTACAAATACTTTGTACTGAAACTTTGAATTTATAGTTAATTTAGATCTCGAATATAAATTACATATTTAACTAACGTGGTTTCAAAATCAAGAAAAGATACTTCAAACTGTATTTTATTGTATTGATGATGTTTAAGATTATTCTTTGTTGTAGAATGCCCAAAAATCTTTAATAGTAGACCCTTCAAGACGTTCAAGATAATGATTTTAGTTTAAAAACCAAAGAATCCTCATTTCTCTAATGAATAATACAATGGTGACAAATCGATTGTTATTTTGTAGGTATCAGTGCCAGGGTTGTCCAGCACTTTCAGGTTTTCAGTGATGGTCTAGTTGATATCATTTCGTGATTTCGGTTGTGAAAACCCAGATAGGCTTGTCTGTAAAGACAACGGAAATCCCTCGATTAAATCAATTGGCTAGCAGAACGTAACTAAGAGTAAAAACTCAAGAGTAATTTTTGATGATATAAATTTTAGTAGTATAATTAATGATAGTACTATCATTTTTTATGTACTATTAAATACTCAGTATCACTGTTGTCTGAAAGCAGGTCAACATATGGAGCTATTATATCAAGAGTACGTTACAATTCATTATTCCTTATCATCTGAAACATTGATTATGCAACCATCAACTAAGATTTTATTCAACTTTTACTTAGGAAATACTCAGCCTACATATTATTTTGAATCAAGTTATATGAGAGCTTTCTAAATTTTTATTTCATAGCATTTGAATTGTATAACGAAATCCAACTAATTATGAGTTTCCATTATTTAAATAAAATTAAGACATTAAATATCCGCTTTGTTTTGTTTAATAACATGTAGCATCATATGATCATATGATTATATGGACATTTCTATGAAAAAGCAGTCAGTGGATAGATTTTATGGAAAACGGAAAAATATATGTCATGTCAACAACTCAGATTAGATCACTTATTGAAAATTGATAATTCAACAGAATTTTCAAAACACTATAATATTCAGTTTGTGTATAAATGATGAATATAAAATTTTATATATTTCTATCGATTACTAACTTGTATTTTTGATGCCTAGATTTGAAATAATGTGTAGAATTGAGGAAAAAATTAGATGTAGGCGGTGGCGCAACTTCGTGGATTGGTTAAAGTTGGACATTAACACCGTCTGATGACGGCTCACTGGTCTAGTGGTTAAGAGATCGCGCGCAAGACTGATGGGTCCTGGGTTCGAATCTCACGAGGCGGGACCGTGGATGCACACTACTGAGGAGTCCCACACCAGGACGAAACGGCCATCCAGTGCTTCCAGGTTTTCCATGGCGGTCTAGCCTCAATAGACTCATGAATTCGACTATAAAATTCCATATCAATGAGAGATGTCGAGGAAATTTAACCCTTTTTATGATTATATTATATGATTGAATGCATGGGAATGTTAAGTTTGAGTTAAGATTGAGTTAGGCTTAGCATTATACGATATGGTTACCCAGTATCATATCCTTTATAATTTCCACCTGCTAACTGAATTCACACGATAACCATTGGATTATACTGCCCACGAGTGAATACTATTTTAACTGTATAACTTACAACAATTTTCTGTTGTTATGTAAATCGTTCTGAATAAAACGATGATGATATTGGATACTTTCTTCATAAACAAACCAATAAACCTTATTCATTTTTTATTCTACCAGTAACAAATCATCACTTATATAGGCTTTTTACAATTTCTTGATCACAGAGCAGTAACCAATGTAGGTTATTTTTTATTAGAATTTATTATTTTTATTGTCATATGACGTTTACTAATTACATATTACAGACTAATACATGATTTACTGTTTTTTTATAAT